TTCTTTAAAAAAAAAAAAAAAAACAACAAGCAGTTCATCATACTCAACAAATACACATTTTAATTGTTTATTTAGTGATCCCATTTTTCCTTTTTGGATAAAACATTGAAAATACTGGCCACTAAGAATATTTGTAGTTTGTATTTTCTTATACTATGACGACAGCTAGACAACACTCTTAAAAATAAAGGTTCCAAAAGCAGAGCCATAGAACCACCATTTTTGGTTCCCCAGAAAACATTTCTGTGAACAGTTCATTAAAGACTTTAAAAATCTAAAATAAAATTTTTCCACTATAAAGAACCTTTTGTGGAATGGAAAGTTTCCATGGATGTTAAAGTTTCTTCATGGAACCATAGATGCAAATAAAGAACCTTTATTTTTAAGAGTGAAGGCTGCTTGCTTCAGTGCTATGAGGCATTACGTTGTCGGTTTTATTTGACAATTTAATCCAAATGTTTGATGTACATATCTTAAACTATATCTACAAAATATCAAATGAAACCTTAATGAAAAAGAACAACCTTACCGTGACTGCTGACATAGGTTTTCCAAAAATTAGCCTGTTGGAAAACAAAATAAATAGCACCAAGTAAGTATACATAAACATGGCTATAACAGGCTTCTGTTGTGTTCACATTTTCTTGTATACTCTTTTTTTTTTTTTTTTTTTTTTTTTTCTCTCACCATCTTTCTGTCATCTTCAAACACCTCTCTGGCCTCTTCATATGAGCATATTTCCTCCATGCATTTTCTCTGTAGATCGTCAGGCACCACTACCTCAAAATCCCAACTGTTATACAACAGTTTACGGGAGAGAAACGAACCTGCTGACTTCTCTTCTAGGAACACTGAGGAACACAAGAGAATATGAATCATAATGAGAATCAGCTATTCACCACAAATATACATTCAGTCGTGTCTTTTTACAAACAGAAAGAACAGCGCAGTATATAGGAATGTAATGAAATGGCAGCTAACGATAAAGACAGTTAAAAATGCAAATAATTAAATTTAATAAATAAAACAAACAAATTAATTATGTTGCATTAAAGGTATGAAACGTACCAATGTTTACAATACACCTAAAGGCCAATGTAAGTGATTGGCCAATGTGAGATTGTGCAAAGGTCTAAGTCTTTGATTTGAGCATAATGAGTTGCATCCAAAAAACACACCATAATACTAACTTATTAGCAACAATAGAAGATAAACCCAAAGAATTTCAAACACTGGCTATTAAAAAGTGTTCAGCTTTTCATTATTACCATCATTTCCACTGTAGATCACTCTGCCCCAAACAAGATGCAGCAGGAAAAGCAAGCTGAAACCTATCGCTGGAAACCCCAGCATTGTACCTGTTCAAACCAATATTAAGAATATTACAAAGATTAACAGGCTATAGTTTGATTAATCCATATGGAGGAAATATATAACTCTAAAGAATTCGTCACAAAAATATTCTCCAGAATTAGAAGGAAAATGCTTTTACAATATCGTCCTCTATCGGTCATTGCACTTAATCAAAATCAAACATTAATCTTTATATATTAAGAAAAAGAGTTATAGGCCTACATATAGGCTACATAAAATATCAGTTTAATATCGTATTTTCAACACTGCAACTTAGATCAAACACACATTGACAAAATTGTGGCAACGCGAAGGAATGACTGAATATTTATTTTAGTATTTTTAAGTAAGTAGAGTAACAGTGCATATCTGCCCATTAATTTTGAAAACAAGCTGCACCACAAAACGCACGACAGCAGAAAGAAAGCAAAACTACTGCACCTGCGTGGCTGCGACTAAAGAAAAACGACATTGGTCACCGCCTGCTTACCTTGACACTCTTTTGTGCTCCGAACAAGGAAACTTTGGATGAAAAATACTTTCAGATTTCTCCAGAGATTTCCTGCCTTGGTGCTGTAAATTAGTATGGCTATGGATAAAAAGTACGAATACAAGGTATTCACATATTCGATGCTTTTAATTTAAATTCTTCCATAAATCGACTGTGTTCTCATTCACAGCGACATTATAACATCGCGTACGAGACATACCAGTTTGACAACAGTTCACAGCCGTGAGCATTTGTAGGAGTGGCAGTGGGATGTGACGGAACCTCCATGACGAAAAATCATTAGTATTAGTAAGTTTCAGTGCTATATATATCGCAGTTTAATGTTCAAAAATGTCATTCATCTTCTGTCATTTAAAACAAACAAACAAACAAACAACGCTCCCCCGTGCACCTTCAACAGCTTCCGGTTTCAACAGGCGCCTTGATTGGATCAGCCTTCCTTTTCAAGGATAGTTATGAATTGGACCCCTTTTCTTCTTAGCAAGAGCCGACCTGACAACAGCTTTTAATGAAGTTACGAAAGTCAGTCCTATAGACCTGATATTTGTCTTATATTATCGCGTTAAAACGTGCGTTACCACTACACTCAAATTCTGTGAGTAAACCACATCATGCTGGTTTCTTCTGTGAATTCAGAATCTCACTGCGGTTTGATTCCCTCCCAGCGATTAACATTTTTCCTCACCTCACATGTGGGAATCATTTAGCAACAATTGCTTGTAATGCGCAGGGTAGTTCTCGACTCTTATCTGATTGTTATGGGCCAATAAGAATAGAGAGTGTTAATTACAAATAGAGATTAATAAAATTTATATGAAGCTAAATAGTCAGTAGGAAAAAATACAAAGCATTAATTTATTTATACTTTAGTCATTCGTAATGAATAAAGTTTATAATTAAATGTTATTACTTTAATCATTATTTCCTCATTCCTCAGCATCTGAAGCCAAATCCAACAATGGTATGTGTGAAAACCGTTTTGAATACTTTTAAAATGATTCACCCAATAAATCAGTCATCCATAAATTCTTACATGAAACGGTTTAGACATATTTTAATTGTGTACAAAAGAATATTGTTAGATTTAGATACAAAACTGGAAGAAAAATGGTGTCTGATATTTCTCCAGAGCCAACAAGAACATAGCTTAAATAAAAAAACTGAAATAATCAGACTTAAGACACGAAATGATATTGAAATAAGAATGAGAATCATCCTGTTACCATATTGTGTAATTCTGTTAACAATGCAAATTAAATAGTGCTTTGTTCTTATTTGTGGCTGACAAACCTGATCTACAACAGATTTTGCCAGAGTTTGAAAAAAAAAAAAACCATGTCCCTTTATTAAAGGCTGTGTAGCAACTCCCTCTAGAGACGAGTATACCATAAGAACGGCTATAGTGTGAAAAGGAAAAGCACCTAGTCTTGTTTTTTCTCACCCTAAACTAGGCCTTCTACCTATTTACAGAGTGACTCATTCCCTTACAACACTGATTAATACCATGCTTTGTTAGTACATTTATTTGGCAATTCCTCTGTATCGCTTTTTTATCACGGTCTACGAATAAAGGTGCAAAAATCACAAGCATGTCACAATATCATGTGAACCTGGAGACAGACTGCCTTATTCTGCATATATGCACAAATAGAAGTACCTTCAAAAACACATCAAATCAAAACTAAAAAGAAACGGATCAAAATAATCCCACAATAAAACCACACAATTTGTCCATTTTTAGTGTTAAACTACATTAGAAAACTATTCACGATGACAAAGCTAGGTGTGCAAACATGTACATTATAGCCTTTGGTTTGTAAGAATACTAGCATTTCAGATACTGGACCCATTGTTTCGACACTACTGTCTACACTAAAAATACTCACGTTATTAAAATCACATCATGTCTTAGTCATTCCACATTGCTTTACCAGGAAGAGATAAATGAAAACAAGCTGGCTGAATATATTTTTTGCCACTGACGGGAAGCAAGGTATAGACTAAAGCAGCCATTTCAGTGCAGTTTCACTGACTAAATGAATCTCCCAAGAGAAGACAGGCTGAACAGAGCTCTGGGCCAATAAAATACTTTCCAACTTATCTTTTTGAGTCAGTAACCCAATATATGACATACAGATGACATAAGAACCATCAGAAGTTCTGTCAGCACAGCCTATGATTGCTTATGTGGTTGTTTAAATATGCATTGTTGCTACTGTTCACTACCTCAGTGGTAAAAAAAAAAAAAAAAAATAAATAAAACATGTGGATGAAACAAGAACTCCCTCTTTCCAACAGATTCACGGTTCGCTCTTATTTTATAGTCTAGTTTCTTCTTGAAAACCAATTCATACATACTGTAAAAGCCAATAAAACACTGATGCATACAGTGTCATACACACACACACACACACACACACACACACACACACACACACACACTGTGTAGACATATAAGGCACCAGGCGTGAGAGTGAGGGCTTCGGTCTCCTAGGCAACAGTGCAGAGGGGCAGTCAGAGCAGGGTGCAGGGACAGCCACCACTCTTCTGCTTCCTCGCATGATTAGCGGGGAGCGGTGGACTTTCTGTCTCCTGAAACTTCCTGAAGAAAGACGGTAATGCAAGTTTATCACAAATGCACTACGTTGTCAATCTCATAAGAGTGCTCCTCTATTCCAAATACCTTATTGCTCGCACAACCTCCACGAAGGCTTCATCCACATTGTGGCGGTTCTTAGCTGACGATTCCATATAGTGGATCCTGTTTTCTCGGGCAAATGACATGGCCTCATCTCTTGAGATCTATTTGAACAACATATTCATATGAATTGGCAGCCTATTTAGGGTTTTTCATTAAAACTTCAATCATTTGTGTAACACGTTACCACTCTCAGCTGGTCAAGATCTGATTTGTTGCCAACAAGAACCATAGGAAAATCATCTTGATCCTTCACCCGCAATATCTGAGTGTGAAATTTCTGAATTTCATCATAACTGAAACAGATAGAAAGTGTTTATTAGAATGACAAGTTTTTGCTCTACGAAGACAAAAGTAATACAAAATAATACAGAGTTCATAGAATGTCATTATAATTGAACTCATCTTGGATAGTAGCCTGTAAATTTAATTTGCAATAGACAAATATTAAAAATCTATTTTATGAGTGTTATAACTGCTAACAAAAATTACATGAAATATTGAAATATTTTCCTGAACTGAAATAAAAAATACTAGATAATGAAAAACAACTAGGAAAACTGATGATTCAAAAACTAAAACTAAAACAAATGTCAAATTAAATTTAAACAAATCAGTTCTAGTTTAAGGTTTGATAACATGCTATATTCTAAAATATTTTAATTAAACATAAAAATGTCACTAGACTGTGCTAAGAATTTTAACAGCATTAAATATATATATTTTTTAATTGACCAGTTAACACATTATTTCAGTCCTAAAATACAAACACGCACACAAAACAACAACAAAAAAATGTAAACGAACAATGAAACAGAAAACGAACTAAAACTAAACTGAAAATAAAAAATTTCACTGAAGAAGAAAAAATCTTCTTAACTCCGGAGGCAGAATAATTGATTGCAGTTTACAACTGTACAAATATTTGCATGGAAAATCTGGAAAATATAGTCTAATTCAAATCTGTAAGAAACCTCTACAGTTCTACTTGCCATTCAAATAGGCTCAGTTCATCGGTTGAGGTTCATCTGAAAACATGAGCACTCATAGTCTGCACTCTTATTCTCATCACAAACACATTCTGTGGTTTTCTTTTTTAAAACAAACACAGCCACATACACACTCTCTGTTCTCGTCACACAGCAAGGTTAGGAACTATCTATTCCCCTTCCTCTCGCACACACAGACACAAACACACTCTGGAAAACACCTACCTGCCACTGTCATTAAGAGCAAACACCAATAAGAAACCCTCTCCGGAGCGCATGTACTGCTCTCTCATCGCTCCAAACTCTTCTTGTCCTGCTGTGTCGAGGACTAATGAATAGGTGAACGACACAATAACACAAATGAATAGAGGGGAATATGCAAGATGAGCTCATCCACACAAAACATTTTTGCTTTAAACCTTGCTTTAAGCACAGCTGGCATGATGTCGTACTGACAGCAAGTCAAAACAAAACCTGGGCAGGAACCCGTAGTCAGTAATGAATCATACTGATGCAACTCTGACCAAAATCTCCCTTCCGAGGGAACCTGTGGAGCTTTTTAACACTCAATCCTTCCTATAAAAACACATTAATTCCAACTTACTGTCTAATCGTGTCTCCTTTCCATCCACAGTGCATATTTTAGTGTACGAGTCTTCAATGGTTGGGTCATAGTCCGACACAAAGTACGACTGTGAAAGAAAACAAATAATTTTGGTTGTTCACCAACTCCTCAACAAGGGCTTTAACATGAAGGAACATGCAAAGGAAAGCCCACTGCACTCTGAACTTCACACAACTCTTGCAACACACCCACAGTAATACTTTCCCACAGCGCATTTGCCCAATATTACGCCATAAATACATCTATATTTTATATTAAATTCCTAACAAATGCAATGAATGTACCTGAATGAACTGAATGGTGAGGGCGCTTTTCCCCACACCTCCACCGCCCACGACCACCAACTTATATCTTTCTTCAGTTGACATCATCCTACTCCTGCAAATATGAAACATTTGGTTATACACAAAAACAAACAAACAAGCAAAAAACTAATCACGTCTTCTTACTCGACTAAAATGGTTTTAAATGGAATAATGTTGCTCCATCGAGCATACATATTTAAGACCGTACAAGGCCTGGCATCGTTGATAAACCTCTACAGAAGGCTACAAAGTTACAGATTTTGGGCGAGTATGTATCATAATCCAATCTCTATGGTTCAATCTGTACAGAACAATAGCATTTGCAGATTGATAATTCTAAATAGGAAATAAAACAAATACCGTGATGGTCTGGACAATGATCGCCGATTACCTTTCTTCCGCAGCCGCCTTGGGTAAATTAGCCTTCTGGTGGAAAGTTAGCGACTCGAAAGTCAGACAACTTAACGTTAGTCCACTGCCAACCAGCGAATACTCTGACAACTTTAATAGCCTACAAATTCTCCCTTTTTACAAGCGATACAACCATCTTTCTTAGGGAGATAAAAAGCGAATTCCAGGATGTCCGCCCTCTGGATTTTTCTTGGTGATTTCTGGACTCGCTCTTGCTTCCGATAGCTTTTTTTTCATGACCAGGGGCAACTTTTTTCGTCTCTGAGTGTGTATCATCCGTACGCCTGAAATGGGCGTGGCTTTCGTCGTTATTTTTTCTCATCGAACGCATGATTTCGTTATCGGTGAGCCTCGGCGAGTTCTAATTGGCTGATGCACATGATTCGATTAACGATTCTGCTGTTACTACGCTTGCATTTCCGCAATAGGAGGCAGGCTATGATAAATGCGTAATTCGAGCGTGGTCTTTCCCATATTTGGCCAAGGCAGGGCCTGGTTTGTCTGCGTTAAAGTAGATGTTTACATAGAGCGTTCATTCAGCATTCATTGTTCATTTTTTAACTTGAAATGAGACGTTTGTCCAGATGTAATGTTTTGTATCTTATTTATTTTATAATTGAAGAGTTAAGATGCAAAAGCCTCTAAGTGCCATCTACATTTTCATCTAAAATGACAATTTTTATCAGGCTCCTATATTTATGTTCAGTTATTCTTTCACTTTAATGGTATAGAAAAGGACCTATACATTGCCATTAAAGTAAAATTACTGAATCTAAACAGGAACCTGATAAAAATGCTAATTTTAGAAGAAAATTTCAGACGGCACTTATTTCTATAGAGGCTTTTGCATCTGAACTCTTCAATCGGTAATTTTCCTTCCTAGTACTATACTAAGTATGTATATTTGCATAAGTTCTTTCTGTATATTATTTTGTGATACTTTGGCAATAATAATAACAATAATTAATATAATAACAATAATAAAAAAACTTAACGTTTGGATAATCGATGTGGATGCTGGATCACTTGGCTTGTATTAAACGAAAACTTCCCAGGATGTGACTAACTGTGTAGTAAAAATGTTTTTAGAAACACCCACCAGTTAATGTCTGCCTTTCCAACATTTTTGAGGAAACGTTACTCCTCTTCATTGTGACTAAACCAAGGGGAGTACATTTACAGTCGGTTGCAATAAATTCCCGCAAGATAAAAAAAAAAAAACGTAATGTATCATTATAAGTATATTTATTACTAAACGTTTTCTTAAAGGAATAGTTCACCCAAACATGAGCTGAAAATGTACTCTCAGGCCATCCGAGATGTAGATGAGTTTGTTTCTTCATCAGAACAGATTTGGAGAAATGTAGCATTACATAATTTGCTCACTAATGGATCCTCTGCAGTGAATGGGTGCCATCAGAATGACAGTCCAAACAGCTGATAAAAACATCACAATAATTCACACGACTCCAGTCCTTCAATGAATGTCTTATGAAGTGAAAAGCTGTGTGTTTGTAATAAATTAACTAAAAACTGCTGCTCCAACTAAAATAAGAGACTGCTAACCATAATACTGTTTTCTTCAATGAAAACGATGTCTCGCCTGAATCAGGAGAAAAATATGCACAGATCAAGCACTTAATACAAACACACAGGTTTTCACTTCACAAGACATTGATTGATTTACAGGAGTCGTGTGGATTGCTTGTGGGCCCATTCACTGCAGAGGATCCTTTGTAAGCAAGTGATGTAATGCTAAATTTCTCCAAATCTGTTCCATTGAAGAAACAAACTCGTCTACATCTAGGATGGCCTGATGTAAATTTTCAGCAAATTTAAATTTTTGGGTGAACTATTCCTTTAAGGGGCACAGGACCTTTGCCCTATTGATCAACTGGCGTTCAAATCCACAGCAAAATTTTGTATTTTAATAACATCTTATAATACAATTCAGCAAATAGTTGCTAAAGTAACACTAAAATGAAAGAGACAATGAGACAGAATAAAATAATTGTCTTTAATGAACACTGTTTTCAATACAAGCTATAGTGTTAAAATTCCACCTGCAAAATACCCCTTTATAAATAACAATTATCAGTGTATTTCAATAAATAAAGTCACAGGCAGGCTGTGCATTATAATAGAACAAATCGCTTATGTGCTTGCAAACGTTCAGTCATTTATTCACATATCACCAGTCCACCAGATGACGTGAGTCTGTCAAATAGTCTTGGAGGAACATGCAATTTTATTAAATAAATAAGTGAATTCACACAATCACACATATGCTTTTTCATTGATAGCGTCGTTGTCCTCATTTAAGTTCCTTCAGATCATTAGGGAGATACAGTGTACAGTCCTTGTTTACACCTGTATTTTTAAATAGCGCAGTCCATACAACCAGTCTCTCTTCAACATCTGTACGGCAAAGCAGCCTGTCCCAGTTTAACACGTGGGCCAAGTAGGACCCCAAGCAGCATGCGTTCGCACCAGTCCAGTATTTTGTTGACTGTTAGACTTACCGGAGACAAGGGGCTCTGGTCTCCAACCATACCCTCCACTGCTTCTACACCACCAATAACCTCTTTCTTGAAATGCTCCTCCGGGGAGGTTATGATACCACATGGTCCCTGGCTCTGCCTGTGTGATCTTGTGCTTGAATGGTTCAGTTGGTTTGTTTTTTGTAGCTCCACATTTGCTCTGGGGTTACTGCTGTTTAGTTTACTCTTTCTTCTTTGTGATTTTGAGATGCTGAGTCTAGCCGAAGCTTCCTCACTGATAAACCCGTTTGCCTCTTTTGGTTCTGTTCTGGTTTCTGATGTTGACGGCTCCAAATTGACTCTGCCCAGGTCATCTAACGCCCCCGTCTGGTCAACTGTGGAACTGCCCTGCCTCAGATCACAGCTGTTCACTGATGACCCCTTCTGGTGAGTCTGAGGAACTGCACTCACTGGTGTTAGGGAAAGAGTAAGGCTTTTGCGTTTCTCCTCTAGAGACGGAATCTGAAGGTAAGTAGGCTTGGGTAGGTTGGATTTTGGTGCATCCTGCTGTGTCTGGGATGTGACTTTGACTGGTCTTTGTACCTCTATGGGATTTGTGCGGAGAGTGAGCGCTCCGAGCTTGTCTGAAAGAGATAATGTAAACTCTGGCTTCATTACCTCATAGCGTTGGCCTCGGCTCTGAATAGTTTCCATTTGGTTGTTCTTGTTCTCAAAGTGCAAGTTTGCTTTGGAATCCTCAGTACATCCATTAATAATACAGTTTTTGTCCATGTTGTTCTGAAGGTTCAGGTTAGTTAACAGTGCCACTGTGGAACTGCTGTTGTTTTTTTCATTGGTGGGCTGTAGGCAGTTATCCAACGGTTTGACTGACTGCTGAACCTGAAGGTTAGTGTTATTATTCTTTAAAGACAGCGTTCCCTGGAAGAGCTGCAGCTGCCCCAAGAAGTTAAAATTCGGTGAAATAGTAGGTCTGCGTTCTTTCACAAACCTAAAGAAATGATCAGATAGTGATAATTAATTAGTGCTGTCAAACGATTAATCGCATCCAAAATAAAAGTTTTTGTTTACATAATATGTGTTTATACTGTGTATATCTATTCTGTATATATAAATACACACACATACAGTATATATTTTGAAAATATTTCCATGTATATATTTATGTTCATGTAATTGATATTATATTTAAATATTTTAAATGTATAAACAACATATTTTTCTTAAATATATACATGCATGTTTGTGTATTTATATATACATAATAAATATACACAGCACACACACATATATTAAGTAAACAAAAACTTTTATTTTGGATGTGATTAATCGCGATTAATTGTTTGACAGCACTATAATTAACTTATTTAAATAATCTGCATTCACGATAAAAAAAGACAAAAAAAAACAATGAAAAAAATTAATAACTCATATTCAATATTCATCTTCAACTCAATTTCCTAACTCTTTTTTTTTTCATAGAAAATGGCAGTAGAATTAAAACAAACAACATATGCGCATTACCTGTATGCATGATCCAGATCCATTTTCAGGCTATACATGACGTAGGCAACAGCAAGTGCTGGAGACCGAGAGATTCCTGCAGCACAGTGGACCAGGACTGAGCAGCCACGTGACATGGCCCCATCTGAAACAGTTTGTTTTAATTAAAAAAAATATTGTATATACTGTACAGTGAGACGCATTTTAAAACTTTTAGGCCTGGTTTCACAGACGGCTTAGACTAAGACAGGACTAGGCAATAGTTTCATTAGGACATTTAAGTCATTTTTATTAACGTGCCTTAGAAAAAACATTACCGGTGTGCATTTTGAGACAAAACAGAGGCACTGATATATTTTAAGATCAGTCAGTGCAAGTTTCTTTCAGTTAAAACAGCTCAGACTTACACTTTAGTCTGGGACTAGGCTTAAGCCTTGTCTGTGAAACTGGGGGATAGTGTATACCGAGGACTTTCTACCAGATGCATAAAAATGATCTTTTTTTTAAATTAGCCTCAAATTATGTTTTTTAGACAGACAAAACGCATCTGTTTCCATAGTCATAGTTCTATGCATGGATGCTAGTATTAATGATGTAATGCATTTGGGATGCAAATGCAGGCTGATGTAAGCACGGGATTTCGGGTCCCTCACCAATGAAGTGCAACGCCTGAGGGATCCAAGGAAGCAGGTCATCCCGCAGGGAGTCGTCTATTGGGATACGGAGGTACTGGGACTGGGGTAGAAATGAAGGTTGTGGGCAACATCGGCTCACACTTAGTACGTACGAGATGCCTCGGTCGGACAAATCATCCTGTGGGTACGAATAGCGGGTGAAAGGTGAGAAAGTAACTTTAATGTTCTGCAAAACACTGGCGAGAGCAAACTATTGTAGCAAATGTATATGCAAATAGACTATGCAGCAAATTTAATTTTAATATGGATTGGGGAGGATTATGCAACATGATAAATCGTTAGAGAATTTGTAAATATACCTGCGTTACGTCAGTCTCTGCACCAAGGTACAGATGCGGCAGAATACGCGACAACGGTGGCCGCTCGGACTGACTGTCCCTGTAGTAGACCATCTCTCGATTTTTTTTTTCAATATTTCTTTTATATATTTATATAACCCGAAACCTATGGAGAAAAAATACACTGAAAATTACTGCCTGAATCTATGACACAAAGAACACATACAGAATCCTAAAAGCAGGCCAACTGGTATCCCTAAAATGATTGAAAGTTTTCATGAATTGCATTTAACAATGGTAATAATATACAAGTTAGGCTTATTGACAACAAACTAAAAGCAGGTACTCACCAGTTCAGTCCGTTACAGATCAGCAGAGTGCGTAGGAAATCAAAAAATGTTGAAGAAGTCCAACGAATCTAGTGGATGAACGTTGTAAATAGCACAAACAAACAGGAGAAAGCATGAAGTATATATATATATATATATATATATATATATATGTATCTGCTTGATTATAAAGAGATCCTTGATCTCTCTTCTCGGTAGTTGTGCTCCCGTGCTCCTCTCCGCTCTGTCTGCGCCTCTAACATTATTTGTTGTTGTATGTCTATACCTGCGCGAGGGGGGAAAAAGATGAGGTCATCCAGTTTCCAGAAGCTAAGAATAGTACAATTCTATATGATGTCATTTCCAGCCAATCAGCGCGCAGGGCTCGCTCCGTTTGTTCGCCATCATCAGTTTGCCCTGAAGACCTTGGCATTTTTATTGTGATGAATCGTGTTTTACTCTCTGTAGGTTTTCAGACAAACACGCCGCTTTCATTTGCAAATCGAGTGCGTAATCTGTCAAACGAGACTCTTCTGTCCTTCTAGATGCTTTTGTAAGCCAACTCGTGTGTAAAGTCCCATGCGAGCAGTGTTTCTCTCGTAAGCAAAATATATTATTCAGAACGCATAGTTCACTTGTCCGCATTTACCCATTGATATCATTGTTATACTATATTAACCTTACGCGATGCACTGTACCTCAGACATATTTATGTTTCAGTGTCATGTGTTTTTATCAGATTGTATCACTAAATGATTGTTTTTTCTCGCGCTACAACAGCTGCAAAACACATTCAATTGCAACAGACTTAAAATTCGATTTATGTTAATTAAATAAACTATGAATTAATTGCTATACCACCCTGGGTAACAAAATGGTGTCTTGCATTTTCTATTTAACAAAAGAATGAACAATGATGCAAACATTGAACATGGCAAAGATATTGTCTTGAAAACCCTGCATAATATTTTTCTGGATAGATGAATAATATTCACTAAACATACAGGCCCATCTAATCATGAACTATATATTACTTTGTATCTTTCACAGTATAAATCAACCATATTTAGGGTGTCCAGAAATATGATTTATACTGTGAAACAAATAACAGACGTAGAAAATATATATTAATTTTCTATCAAGTTGACTGCTGGCATTTTTGCAACCCACCATTAGAGTTCTGTCAGACGTGTAAACCTTAAAAAAAGACTATGGCTGTCTACATAAAATAATTGTGGTTTATTTCCAATCAGAACGAAATAAGTGTAAAGTTTGGAAAACATTTAACTTGTTTTTATATTACAGTTGTGTTACATTGTTAAACCTTTGTTATGGCCCACTTTACATCTGATGAAGTCGGCCTATACAATGTTGTGCTGAAAGATAATGACCTATTTTGTGCTTTGTGCAAGTGTGAGATTCAGCTATCTGCCCTGTCACCCTGATCTGTGCCCATCCCTACCACACACACACACACACACACAAAGAAAACACCTGGTTCGAGTATATGGCATAATTTTACTTTCACATTATTCAGTACAGAGTAAATTTAATCTAACACAGGTATCTGACAGGTTGAACAGCGATACACCGGGGCTGCATTAGCTAGCGGATACTGCAGACACACGCAACGACTGTGACTCTAATCAACTACAATGACGATGTCCCCAGTACTGCATCGAGGTAAGCGTGACCCCCAGCTGAACTAATATGACAATGTCGCATAAATTCCATTATATTTTTTCACATGGATCACACAGAATAACACCACACACTTGCTCACCAAACGATGCTGACCAAAATCGGTATGATCCCTGTACGTGACTGACCGTTGGCAGCTGCTTTGGTCCAGTGCTCCCCCTTAAGGCCCCGTCCTCTAAGCCTAAGAATGTGTGTACAACTGCGTGCATGTGACGACTTTTCACAAACTACGTGCTTTCCCAGGTTTTATCGCTGCAAAAGAAAATATGGGTCTCCAGCTGTGGCCACTCACCACTCAAAGTTAATAGTGTATGTCATGTAAGGATTTAGTAATGAGGTCACCACTATCTACTATTAATTTCAGTCAATAACTGTGCTGGAAGAGTGACAGATGTTTTTTTTTAACGATATTACAAAAAAAAAAAAAAAAAGACATTTACATGAAGGTCCACAGCAGTTGCACTCTTCATGTGCAGAAACTCACACACTGGCGAACCTGACCCACCCTCTGCTTCATTTGCTCTTTCTGATTCTAGTTCCTCCCCAGTTCATGTAACACTGTATGACTAACCTGAAACGTTATGCCCATTCACTTGTAGTACAGAATGGAATGTCCAAAACAAGAGCAAAAACATTAGACCATTTAAGAAAGCATACAAACACACTGACAATATACCACTATCAAAAACAAGAAAAAGACATACAAATGCAACCACGAAGGGTAATCATTTACATGGTTTATATATATATATATATATATATTTATATATAGAGATTTTTTTTAATAAACATTGTCAGATATGGGGGTCAGGACGAGTACTGAATACATAGGACAAGAATAGGAAAAAGGGGGTGGGACTATAAAAGCCTTTCCTCTCAAAGTGCACTGGCCATTTCTACGTCGGAAAGAACGTAGGTACGGTGTGATAAACTGGAAATGCATGTGGAATCTCTTTTTTTTTTATGTACACCAATGGCTCTGGATGTAACTGCTTTCAGTGGAGGAAAGCGAGAGAGAAAGCGATGGGGGTTAGTGATTCTGGCCTCTTTTAGGGAAGTGCCATTGCGTTAGTGTATTGAGATTGTGTTTTCTTGTCCTGCTAATAGTCTTTTATAGGGAATGTTCCAAAGAAACAGCTAATGTGCCGTTTTTCCGGTTGAAATTTTGCGGATAAAACAGGAGAGAGGGAAGACTTGCGCCACTTCCATCTTTTTGCTTTACTTTTCTCCCTCCACCCTCAACCCACAACACACACACATACATATATACACACACACACACACACACACACACACACACACACACACACACACACGCTGTCAACACAAGCACAGGAGTTGATCGTTGAACAGGCAGGACGGAGAACGGACTACCACCAAGATTCTTTCACACATGTACGAAAAAAAAAACACATGCACGCTTCCTTTCGCACCACACACAGGTAAACACCGATAAAAACAAGAAGGGCAGCGCTGATGATAATAATAGTAATAATAATCATTATCAGAAGGACAGTAATATGGCTGCCAGAGACTGACAGCTACTTTTTCCCTTATGCATGAATGCGTTTTGTAGATTCTTTATTCTGGGGTCTCTCAGGTGGAACGCTGGTCTGGTCTGGGTGTCGGTTCTAGATGGCGCTAGTCTCGGCTCACTTTCTAGAACTGTTCTGCCAGCAGCTCACAAAGACGCTTGGATACAGTGTCCTTACTGCTGCGCACGGTTAACCGGTACATCTGTGAGAGATAATAAAGAGCGTTACAAAATAGAAACAGACACACAAACAACTGAGAAAGACATCAATTGTGCAGACAGACGCTCATTCTGCTGTCCGAATGTGTGTCTGATCCTTACTGCCGATACAGAGACTAAATGTAAACTTGCACAATGGACAAAGGAAACTCCACAGATACAAAGAGAAGGATGCTGCTGTCACGTCAAATCAACTGGGTTTTACTACCAGACATGGAGTGAATCACAAGAGCAGGAGGGAGGGAGGATGGGAGGTGGTTTGAGTTGAAAGGGGTGGCAGGATGAATGCGTTACCTGCTCCCCAGACTTGAGTTGCATCAGCAGGCACAGAGACACACAGACAACAGTAAGATGCAATAAAACTGACTTGGAGAGAAGTCTGTACTCCATAGCAGCAGGGAGGGACTTTTGATGCTTTTGGCATTTCTTTGTTGTTTTCCTTTTCTTTTGATTGTGTAATATGGATACAAATCAGCATAAAACTGTCTGTTCATACCTGAGCTTGTGCGTTGGGCTCGAGTCTTAGCAGAGAACCCACTTGCTGGGCCTTGGTTTGGATCACACCAGCACACACAAAGTTCTCTGGGTTCGGATCCACATTCTCCAAGAGAGCCATGCCTAATCCCAGTAACTATGAAACATATGGGTGAAGGGAAAAGATGAAAGACAGACAGAAGATGAGAATCAAATTAAGTGGACTCGTCTGTAAATAAATTCTGCAGGAATGACATCACCCCTCTAAATTGAATGGCTATAACTGAAGTAACATTCTGCCATACTAATCTTACTATTCCTGCAGAGGGATGTTGCAATGTACCAGCATTAGTGATTACTGTGATTAAAAAATGAAATATCATGTTAATACTACACATGATAATATCGTAAATAATCTGGTTTAGTCCAGGTTATATTTGCAAAATTTCAAGTGATATGTTCACTTTTTTATAAAAGCATGAAACTTGGTACAATTGTACAGGTTAGGGCCCTGAACATTTTCAGAAATGGAGCCATCACAAAAACACCTTGTGGTGTTTGTTCATTTATCGTTACAAGCTCTCTCTCTGAGAGATCATTTAAAGGCACAATATGTAAGATTTTTTTATTAAAATATCCAAAAACCACTAGAACAGTGTTATATATTTTGCTGACTTGTGTACTTATATTATCCCAAATGTTTCAAAGAATGTTTAAATCCAGAGAAATAAGCAATTTTAACTAGTGACACGGAGCGTGTCCATAGTGTCATTGTGTCACCTGCCAATGACGTCATAACCCCTCGATTTCCAGTTTTGTTTTGTACAAAACATGGAAACACCAAAGACGCTTTAATATGTTGTGCGTTTTATTAGACAGGTGACGACCGCACAGAGTAGCATTATAACAGAACTTTCAAATGTATCTTGAAACAACTGCTAACTGGACACTCAATTAAACATCAAATGGGATCATGCCATGTGACAATTTTTTGACAATTTTGCATACTACTGTTTGAAAATGCCTATTGTTTTACTTGCTATTAAAGGGTGGGGTAAGCGATTTCTGGTAGCCAATGTTGACATTTGAAATCACCAAAACAAACACGCCCCTACCCCAAACCCTGCTTCATTCTATTACGTTAATAAATCTTTAATACATTAGCTCATCCATTAACATGATTTCTGGCCAAGTCCCATCGGATTGCTTCGGCTGTGGGGATGAAGACGACAACTCCCATGATTCCACACTCAGTCACTGCGTACCATGTAGTGCCATGGTCTCCTCTAATAAATTATTAAAAATAAGTACTGGAGCTGTGAACTAGTGATTAGCGCACATTCTCCAAATATATATATGAAGCTTATGCGGGGCATCTAACAGAAGTATCCACAATGTGCAAGCAGACACAGGGTATTGTTTTCCTGGACTAGAGATTTTGAGCGAGTGCCGACATACGGCTGACTCTGATCTTTTTTGCATTTAAATGTATTATTTGGTCACCATAATTAATGGTCATAACCGAGATTATAAGTCTGGGCTGTCTGCAGAACAGAATATAAGACAGCTTTTCCCAACATTAAATAATACATTTTCTATTCATATAGCCATTCAAAGGTTTTAAAGATTTTTTTAATGTTTCTGAAAGAAGTCTCATATGCTCACCTGCTCACCTTATTTTATCAAAATAAAGCAAAATATTACAATTTAAAATAACGGTTTTGTATTTTAATGTTTTAAAATGTAGTTTAAACTAGGGATGCATCGATACCATTTTTTCAGAACCGATCCAATCCCAAAAATTCTGAGTATCAGCCCATACTGATAACGATCCGATACTAGCAGTTTACTAGCACAATCTACTAAATATAGACAACTTCGTTATAAAGAAAAATATATAATCTCATATACAATCTAAATATTTAGTAAAAAAAAAAAAACATTTAGGGGAACAAATAAAAGTGAACAAGTGTAGGACTAAATCTGGTAAAATGTTACACATTGCTTTTTGTATTGCTGTAAAATACATTCATGAAAAACAAGTAAATATATTTATATAAATATATACTATAAAATTTCTTTTTAAAAAAGACATTTCTTTTAAATGTATAGCATAGTAATGTGGCAGCAACATGATAGATATAGGACAGAAAAAGAAAGGCTATTAATAATCTTTCATTGCGCCAAAGTATAATACGAAAGGCTCCAATACAGAGAGGTAGATCTGTGATCTAACAGACACCCGGTAGAAAGTAACATGCTTCAGAAACAGCACTAAACTCCAGCAAGATAAAGTCCTTTAATGCAAAACCAATGATCTTTATCTAGAGATCAAGCATAATAATAGGAACACTGAATAATCTTGGAGAGTTTCATCGTCTTGACTGTCGCAACCAAACGCGACATGCAGTTTGAATGCTGAATGGAGGACGACTGACAGCCGCAGCGGAGAGAAGAGTTTAGGTCAACTTGAATTTAACAATATTCATCTGTACCTTACATTAAACAATGGAACGTCTTCAGTACATTTGGAATAGAGTGCACGAAAACTTGGTGCTTTATAATGTTTTTGTGCCTTTCGTGGGGCTTAAAGCAGCACTATGTAACTTTTGGCGCTCTAGCGGTTAATAAACAGAACTGCACACATCCCGCGGAAGAACATTCCAACCGGAGCTACTTCTCTAAGTTTATGTCTATGGCGATTCACGCAGGTATGTGTTACTCCGCAGCGGTGATGACCCGACCAGGCTACAATAGTCCAAATATAAGTACTTATTATAAGTGTACCGTAGTGATTCGGAATAAGACAAAAACGCGGTTTGGAAGATGAATTCATGATGTACTCGCTCATTATATACATTTAGCAAATTTTGAACACAGAAAAAGTTACATAGTGCTGCTTTAACAATAACACAGAATGGTATATGACAATATCGGATTTGGATCGGTCTCGTCTGACTGATACCCGATCTGGCAGAAAATGGCAGTATCGGAGCCAACACCGATACGAAGTATCGGATCAGTGCATCCCTAGTTTAAACCTGTGACAGCATTTTCAACAGCCCTTACTCCAGTCTTCAGTGTCACTTGATCCTTCAGAAATCACTCAAATATAAGACAATTTCTTATTATCTCTGTTGAAAACATTCTTTGATGAATAGAAGGTACATAGAAGAACAGCATTTGAAATAGAAATCTTTTCTAACACTATAAATATCTTTCGATCACTTTTGATTACTATAATAAAAGTTTTTCTTTAAAAAAAAAAAAAATCTTACTGATCCACCCAGACCTTTAGTGTGTACTAGGGCTGCATGATAAATCGCATGCGATATTTAACGCGCATCTTACCAGTAAAGCCGGTTCTGTAATCAACGGTAAATCTCCATCATCTGCATGCTTTCACATTGAGCAGCATTAACTACACAGAGCCGTTGTTCACTGACGAGCTGCGCAAAACCACGTTCATATTCGCGCGATTTTTTGCGCAGCTCGTCAGTGAACAACGGCTCTGTGTAGTTAATGCTGCTCAATGTGAAAGCACGCAGGTGGAGATTTACCGCTGATTACAGAACCGGCTTTCTGACAAGATGCGCATTAAATATCGCATGCGATTTAGAGCCCCGCGCACATGACATGCAGGGGGGTGGGAAAGCCATTCACATCATGTCTTTTGGGCGCTCAGGTTCGTTATTTCAAATGTAGACACGCGGCAAGCAAACGCACTGCACACTTCTGCGCTGCATTACGGCTTTGACAAGGTTTTGTTTCGTCGTCCATGCCATAGGTGCAGATGTTTCTGCCGGTCGGTGCCCTAACGTGCACTTGTAATATCTGAGAGAGAGGGAGAGCATCCAGTTTTGTTGACATAAAACTGGACGAGCCGGCGCCGCTCTCTCGCACTCATATAGTGAGGGAAATTCACCTGCGATCCGAGCGGAGAGGTTAGGCCACTCACGGACTCAATATGCGCTCTGCAATAATAACGTGATCGATGCCTACAGTCCACGCCGATAGCTGTTCCGGGGCAGTTTTTTATCTCCATCTCCGTTTATCTCCATAAACATATATAGAGCAGTAGAGCTAATACAGTGGCTGGAAATCTGTTTATCCTTCGGTTCCTCATGCTTCCCCATCTTCATAGAGAACGCAGTTCATGGTTGCTCAGAGCACTTTGGAAAGAAGGTGGAAATGGCGCGGCCACGATTTCCATGCATTTTTTAGATGCTGGGAGCAGGGAAATCTATATAGAGCGCCTTATTGTAGTAATATATTGTAGTAAATTGTAGTATTGTATTGTAGTAAAATATCGATATTTGGTGCCAGATATCGATTCTCGTATCGCATGAAGAAGGACAACTATATATCACCATATCGATATATTGTCCCACCCCAACTGTCAAGGTCCAGAAAAGTATGAAAGACATCGTCAGAATAGTCCATCTGCCATCAGTGGTTCAACCGTAACGGAGAGTATCCACTGAACATAAACTGCGTATACTGTTCTACTTGTCTGTGTCAGCCACACCACACAGATACATTTTCTGTGTATTTACGCTTTGATTTGAACGAAAACAGCGCATCCGTGCAGCGCGGCTTACACAGAATAGCGTACGCTGCTTGCGTTCAGTGCATATTCTCTAAAATGGCGCTACGGTGATGCGGAGAGACACAGAAGAGACAAATTGTTGAATAAAGTTGTTATTTTTGTTTTCTTCGCATACAAATATAGTATTCTCGTCGTCAACTTCATACAGTTAAACCACTGATGGTAGATGGACTATTCTGACGATGTCTTTCATACTTTTCTGGACCTTGACAGTGTAATTTACTAGGCAGTGAATGGGACAGCCACAAGCCTCCCGGTTTTCATCCAAAATATCTTAAATTGTGTTCCGAAGACGAACAAAGCTTTTACAGGTTTGGAACGACATGGGGGTAAGTGATTAATGACAAAATGTTCATTTTGGGGTGGAGTAACCCTTTAAAAAATATATATAAACACAAAAAAATATTGACTAGCAGTTCCCAAACTACATGCTTAAGATTAACAGGAAAATTTAAAATGTAAAAAAAAACAAAAAAAAACAAACATTTGTCTGTGGTTATTTTTAACTACATTTTGCATTCTGTCTTCCAATACAACAGAAGAAGAAATAAAACGCGAAGGCTGTGGGTTGTTTGTGATGGTTGGGTGACTGAATGGAGGGAGTGAAGTGGGCGAGTGAGCTCTTACTTGTTGAGTAGTTCGTTTGACTCAGGCAGAGGAGTAGCAGGATCTTCAGAGACCACAGAAGGGGGAGTAGAGCTGAGAGCCCAAAAGCGAAGGATGCAGAGAGAGGAGAGCGGCCCCAGGAGATGAAAAGAGGGGTGAGAAGTGTTAAGTGTGAAAAGGCACAGATGGTTAAAACAGATTAAAGATGTTAGAAAGTGGTGAGCCAGTAAAAAGTGCAGAGTGAAGCCAAAGTAGGTAGGAAGAAAGAGGAGAGAAAAAGACAAAGGCAGAGGTTAGTACCGGCATTACATCTGCGGCCAGTAAAATGTTAGCAATTCATATTAACTACACACAGCACACAAATACTCCACAGACACAAACAGAAAAGAACACATTTACACAACAACATCTATAAATAATCAAAAAGTTAAGTGTTTATATATGACTATTGACTGTCAATAAGTTTTGCTGTAACATATTGACACTGTAGTCTACCACTGGCCCCTTACTCAGAGTCACCAGGACCCTCAGCCAATAGGGAGTCAGAGCTTTCAGTGGGGGGTTCCAGATCTCTGCCGTCGTCCAATGAAAAGCAAGGACGTGAGACGCACATCCGTTCACGCATACACACAAACGTGCGCGCACACACACCAAAATGAGGGAGATGGAAAAGGGAGGGAAAGAGAAAGAGAAAAAAGAAGCAAGAAAAGAGAAAGACAGTCACATACGCAGCAAGATAAAGGACACAAGATTACACAACACAAAAAGAGGAAGACCAGAAGAACGAGTGATAGAAAGTGAAACGACAGAAGAGCAGAAAGCTTGACGGACATATATATACACAAGTCCTGAACATGTTAAAATATTAGTGCACTTCACTTCAGTTAAAGCAATAAATGCACAACGGACTGAAAACAGGATGCTTATGAACTGGATCCTTATTTACCTCAGGAAGCCATCATCATTGACGCCAGCCTCTGAGAAAACATCAACCAATAAGCTGCCTGTGCTGGGAGCGGCGGCGGTAACAGGGGGACCCGTGCGGAGCCCCAGCAGATCAGCAGACGGGGACGGAGTGGACTAAAAGAAAAAGAGTGTTCATACATTGGGTTTTGGTTTAATAAAGACATGCTGAAGAGATGAACGTCTAATTAGAAATTATTTGAATCAGGATATGTGCAGTGGGTGGGTGTTTTCTTAGGGATTGTTCTGTATTTGCTGACTCCCTTCCCTGTACAATGCAAACATGTGTGCATGGCTGCAACGGCTGAAGTCTGCCACGTATTAGTCTCAGCCTCAGCCCACAGACTGCGCTCAGTACATGCACTGACCATCTGATGCATATTGCCCACAAAAATTATTGAGAGCTGCTTGCTGCAGTTCCAATCTGATGAGCCAGTCTGACCAGAAATAAAGTCATACCTACAAGGTACTGGGTTGATAAAATGAGAACTTATGAGGAAAAACTTTTATTTGGCAATGTTTGCCACACTAGAGGAAAAATAGAAACAAATAGAACCATATATTGTGCTTTGTTTTTTTTGAGTAATGTCTGTGCTTATTCTATAGGAGTGGGCAGAAATTTTGATCATGCCGGTCTATTGTTGTGCTATCAGCTATTACAGATAAACTTGATCCTAAAAAGCATGGAAAAAACAAAACTAAATGTGATCGATCACTTTTGAAGGGATGGTTCACCCAAAAAAGAAAATTCTGTCATCATTTTTGCTACTAGCAACTGTTTAGTTACCGACTTAATTGAGAATATCTTCTTTTGTGTTCAACAGGAGAAAGAAATTCATACAGGTTTGGAACAACACAAGGTTGAGTAAATGACAAATCTTTAGATGAACTATCCCTTTAATATCAGACAGACCTTTTTTGTCTTAAGTGTGTGGTTCTTGACAAGCATAAGCTGCGAAGTGGACCAGACCCAATACTTTTGGCAAAAGGCTTGCTATACTCTACCAATCAAAAGTTTGGGGTCAGTAAGATTTTTTAATGTTTGGTGAGAACAAGAAGTCTGTTATGCTAACCAAGGCTGCATTCATTTGATCATAAATGCAGTCAAAACCAGTATTATTGTGAAATATTACAATTTAAAATAACTTTTCTATTTTGATATATTTTAAAACATATCTCATCCCTGTGATGGAAAAGCTGAATAATTCAGTCTTCAGTGTCACATGATCCTTCAGAAATCATTCTAATATGCTGATTTGCTGATAATTTTTTTCAGGATTCTTCAATGAATAGAAATTTCACAGGAAGAGCATTGATTTGAAAGAGAACTCTTTTGTAAAATTATAAATTGTCAATTGTGATCAATTTAATGCATTCTTGCGTCCAATGCCACCCTGACCCCCAACATTTTAACTGTAGCGCAGATATAGAAATTTTAAAGCAGTGTTTTCCATATTTGTTTGTGTCTCTCACAGCATTAGATGCAGCAATGGCAGAGCTGTCTCCTCCTCTTTCTCCCCCTCCATTGAGTTCTCCTCCCTCTCTCTTTCCCTCCTCTAGCTCATTCACAGACACGGCTCCTGGTCCTTTCTTCTTTTTCAGCTTGGCCAGGATGGACGACTCTCTCTCTGGGAATGGAGGCATCTCCTCAAGAACTGTGGCCTACAGTTACACACAGTGACACAGATGATTATACAAATAAATGGTGAGACACAAATCAACAAAGTGTGTGAAAAAGAGTGTGATCTCACCAGGACATCGGTGCTGGCGATGGAGGACAGTTTGAGATACTCCACAGCTCTCTGCTGCAGTTCAACATCACTGTTCCTGATCTGGCTGTCGGAGCGCAGCACTTCCTGAATGGTGCTCTTTGTCTCCGGGAACAGATTAATGAACTTAATATAGGCAGAAAGCAGAAGGGCGCGCGTGGGGACTGAACACAGGTGAAATTTAGAGTGGAGCAGGTTAAACTGAACCAAAGGACTAGTGAGATGGAAGAACAGAGGTGGGATGAATGGGAACAGTTTGATGAATTTCAGATTTATAGAAAAGATGAAGGAAATAGAAAGTAAAAAAAGAAAAGAAAAAGAGGACATCATTAGTATAGCAGCAAGATAAAAATCTGTGATGTCAGAAAACACCGATATGAGTGGCTAAATAACTCACCTGGAACGAGGATCACCAGCAATAAGGTTACCAAACTCTCCCAGGATGTAGCCTCCAACCTTTACCATGTTCTCATGACAAGCTGGAGCCTGCAAAGCCTGTGAAAAATAAAAAAAAATTAAAAAGGAGAGCAGGAAACATGAAGTGTCATAATGATGGTGGAAATCAATTTTCTGAATGTGTACAAGAAGTGACAATTTGAACACCTGGTGTCATTTACCTCAAAGACTGTCTTGGCTGCATATCCCTGCACATCGTCACGATTGATGACGATCTGGATGACGCGGTACCACACTTCCTCACTGACGTAATCCCCAGCAATGCGGATTAGGTTCAGAATGGTATCCACATACCAGGAGTAGTCTACTGCATATTTCTCTGCCAGGATGGCCACCTTCAGTACCTACAGACACAGTAGTCACACATTAAAACAATGACCTGTGACTGAAGAGACACGGAAGAGATGAAAAGAGACGCACCATTTCTTCTCTGATGGAGTAGTCGGCTGTCTCCAGGTAACTCAGCATCTCTGCGACAATCTGCTTGGCATTGCTGCGGTCACACATGGCATAGAGGAGGTCAGCAGCTCTCTGACGCACACTGACATCCCTCTCAGTCTGCCAGCAGAATAAATAGAATTAAATTGTTATAAACAGTGTCCATGAATAATAAAGAGTGAATCTGCCATAAAAAAAAATAAAAGACAGATCTTGTTTCGTAAGAATACAGAATCTATCCATTTACCTTCAGGGCATTGATGACTGTCTCTATGTGCGTTTTAACTGCCTCATGGGAAAACTCAGAGCTGGCAAGGGTGCACATGCTTTCCAGGGCCAAGTAGCGCAGGTTGGTCTCTCTATGCTGTAAGAACTGGCCCAGCTGGTTACATGCCCGCACAAGAAGATTCGGCTCACTGTTGAGAATCGGGCCATGAAGAGAGATTAAATACAACAGATAAATTCTAAATACAAATAAAACCATCAAAACATCATATCAGATCATTTAAACAAAGCAATTAATAAAAAAACACAAGCGCAATACATTTTTATATAAATCACTCGTGAACCCATACGTACAAAAATTATTCCTAAAATTAGCTGTGCGTTTTTAGTTGTTTGTAAAAAGAGAAATGGAGACAACTTGCACCTGTCATAGTGGATGATGAGAGAAATGGCTTCAAACAGGATGGCATTCTTGGCATTGGAGTGCTGAACCTTCTTGGATTTGGGTGGCTCTTGGGCTTTGTTGAGGATAGTTTCCAGACACTCTACCAGCCGTCCCTTAACGGCACCATCCTCAGGCGGTGGGTAGCACTGCAGAAGTCGCAGCAGCTTGCAGGACAACCACGGAGCAGGAACGAAGTAGTAGGTGTAGTCCTGCAGGTCAGTGGAGGCTGAAGACACAATCTGAGAATGGAAAAAAACATGAATGAATAAAAGATTAGCACACATGAATTTGGGGCTGCAAAAAACTGAACATTTCATAAAATTATTGTCAAGTGTTTTTTTAGTGACAAAATATGGCAAATAAAGAAAAAAAAAACTACTATGAAAAGACCAACAACAGATTTTTGCTGAGTACAAAAAAATGGTAATGCAATGCATTATAAAGAAATGTTAACCCAACCAATTTTAAATATTAATTTATGAAATATTTGTATTGTTATTTGCTATTCTTTTTACATTGAATGAACATTTTACATTTAAGTTAAATACACATCAAGGATCCATTTATTTGATCAAAAATATAGTAAAACAGTAATATTGTGAAATATTATTACCATTTAAAAACTTGTTTTCTATTTTAATATAGTTTTAAATGTAATCTATTCTAGTGGTATACCGGTTCATACTGAATAACGGTGTTAATTTTTATTATGATATGAATTTTTAAAATACCGCAATACCGGTGTATGTTGCTTAAACAATGTTCGGAACGCGACACTGTTTGAAAGGGGTCCCTTTTCACTGTTGCACTGTGGTGAGGGAACAGCTGTATGTGTTACTTACTAAGAGTGAAAGTTCCGAAACTGAAGCTGTAAAACTAATAGAACGTGATGACACAGAAGAACTCATCCACAATATCCACATTGACCGCCACAAATATCCACTGCCCCCTGCCATCAGCTCCCGCGTCTCATACACACGAGCGCGACTTTAGCACTAGATTTAGCAACTTTCAGACCCTTTTAGCGCCTTTTTCCCATAGAATATTCATACTGACAAACCTAGCGACTTTTTTGGATAAACCTTACCGGTCATGCATGAAAAAAAAATACCATCATGTACCGTGAAACCGGTATGATTTTGAAAAATACCGTGATATAAATTTTTGGTCATACCGCCCAGCACTAATCTATTCCTGTGCCTGTCGTTACTCCAGTCTTCAGTGTCACATGATCCTTCAGAAATCAGTCTAATATGCTGATTTACTGCTCAAGAAATATTTCTTATCAACTTTGTTGAACAGAAAGTTGCATGCATAAATTCATTCATAAAAAGCATTCTCATCAATCTCACAAACCCCCAAAAGATTGCAGCCTATTCAGGAAACTCTGGTCTATAGGCTCATATAAACACGTGTGCATGCGCACACATACTCACCCTGCTGAGTCGTGACACAGCAAGCGATACACAGGTCTTGAACTCATCAGGGTTCTTCTGGCTGAGACAGGTGATCAGGGAGATCGCAGCAGTGACCACACCCTGAAAAACAGAACAGAATCAGAAATCAGAAAGAAGCCTTTTAAAATGCAATAACCACAAAAAAAATGGTTGATCTATAAATGTGTACATTTTACATACATCAACAGATATGTGTGTGAACATCATGAGGTTGTGGTTTCCTATGTGCTAGACTTACCATGTGCTGGTCATTGAGCAGGTGCACCACTCTAGAGGTCCATTCTCCCATGAGCACCAGGTCTGGGGAGGTCTTATACAAACGGAGGAGACAGAGAGCAGCTGACTGTTTCACACTGTCCATCGTGTCCCTGCCATTAGAATAGGAACTACATTAGTTATCTATAGCAACATTTGTCTGGCAAGACACTGCGTGTGAATAAGATCTTAACTAATAGATATCACCATACTTTCCCCAGCTGATTAATCACAGTAAAAATTGGATAAAGACAGGTTCAAAATTTTCATTTCACTGACATAAAAGCTTTTACAGAAGGGATTTTAGATATATTTTTTATCCCTCCATGAATGAGAAAACACTGTCAACAACCAGAAAAAAATAAATTTACACCATAGTTTTAGGAATAAAATATGTGTGTGTGTGTTAGGCTTGCCGCGATAGACGGTGCTGACGGTGATACCAGTGTTAAGCCGCAACACTGATTACGTCACTTGCCCACCGCTGCACTGACCCCCACCGTCGTTTTGATTTTTTGTAGAAATAAAAATAGTTCAGTTCAGTAAAAGAACAGACACTACAATTAAAAACTGAACGCGGCTGCTCAATGCAGCGTGCCGAACGACAGTCGCATCACAGATCAGATTTCATTTTGAAGGAAATCTAGGAAAAGAGGGAACGCCCCCGCGGTGACACCGGTATTACCGGTGTTGTCACACGTCGATTAACCAGTGGGAAAATTTCCTCACCGTCACAATCCTAGTGTGTGTGTGTGTATGGCAAAAATCATAATCACGATTATTTTGGTCAATATTGTAATCACGATTATTTAACACGATTATGAGTGGGTCATATGACCAAAACTTTATATAAGTGATTAATTTAAAGATAGCAATATATATCAAATATACATTTTCAGTAAATAAGGTTGCTGTGACATCTACATTTTAGATACCAGTGAAATTTCACAATTCTCAATAACACAGCAGAATACTAGGGTAACTTATATAAGTAAAAAAATAATAAAATATAACAATCCTCAAAAAGTATTGAAAAATAAACTCAGTAATACAACAAAAACAAAAAGCAAAGGTCAAATACAATAGAAAAAAGATACAAATGAAACAAACAGTGCTTTAAGTTTAAAGTATTCAGCTAACAGCCTACTACAGAAACTGAATAATCAAATATAAAATAAAACAGCACTGTCTTCACTGTAAGAATTAAACTTGCTTTGTGTCTTATTAAAGCTACAAAAGTCCTTCAGTCAAGAACCAGTCATTTTCTCTTTGTATTTTGTGACACATTTTTGTGTGTATTTGACCATTTAGGAACGCACCTTAAGTTAAAAATTCACTTTACTTGTCTGTTTTGTTCCGTGTCAGAGGGCATGCACAGAACAGTGCAAGTTCTCTTTCGTGCTTTTAAAAACACAAATAAATCAAGCACGTCCCATTTTGCGAAAGTCACATTACATGATTTTACTGATTTGCATGTGAAATTGGGCTTTTATGGAGAGTGAAACTGCACCGCTGGAAAGGGGTGGAACAGGGCACAATAATCTTTTTATCTTGATTATTGTATTTTCATAATCGTTGGAAGCCGAAATTGAAATCGAAACTGTATTTCGATTAATTGCACGGCTCTAATGTGTGTGTGTGTGTGTGTGTGTGTGTGTGTATATTAATTAAACAATTAAATGTGTATTTTGGATGTTTTATTTCCACTAGTTTAAAAGAAAACCTGTTATGGAAGCAACATAGGACAAATGGTAACACTTTATTTTATGGACCAATTCTCACTATTAAAGGTGGGGTAAGCGATTTCTGGTAGCCAATGTTGATGTCTGAAATCACAAAAACAATCACCCTACCCCAAAAGGGTCTCGCCCCTATTTTGATAGCTCCGCCCCACACATACGTACGCAACCCAGGCAACGATTAGTTCTGTGAAACAAAGCAAAACCAATGTTACACCGTGTCTACACCGGACGCGAGTGGCGCGGCGTGACAAAATACTGTAGAACTCATTAGAATCAGTGATGCTGTCTACACCATAGATATATATACATATCTATGGTCTACACTGGATGCGGCGCGGCACAACACGACAAATCCCCGACAGAAAACTGCTGCTGCGTTCTATTCATGACGTATTGACACACATTTCAAATGATTTTCAACGGTCGCTTTGTCGCTTTCAGTGTACTAGACAGACTTTAGCTGTTGCGGCGCAGACACGGTGTTACTCACTTTTGTTGGTACCTGCTTTTGTTCCGCAGACGTTTTCCTCTTTTGTTTTTTTATCCGCATTCTCTATCTTTCTGTCGCTCGGCTAATATCCGTCCTGTGCACTGAGCGCTCTCTCCTCCACATCACGAGTAGACATGCCCCTTACTGCTGATTGGCTACAAGTTTGTTTTGCTAGTCGGCCCGAATCAGTTTTCTAAAGCGTTTTTGAAAAATCGCTTACCCCACCTTTAACTAGTTGCTTATTAGCATGCATATTACTATCATATTCGCTGTTTATTAGTACCTATTACGCACATATTAATGCCTTATTCTGCATGACCGTATTTTAGATCCCTTAATCCACCCCTAAACTTAAAGGAACACTCCACTATTTTTGAAAATAGGCTCGTTTTCCAACTCCCCTAGAGTTAAACAGTTGAGTTTTACCGTTTTCGAATCCATTCAGCCGATCTCCGGGTCTGGCGGTAGCACTTTTAGCTGTAGCTTAGCATAGATCATTGAATCTGATTAGACCGTTAGCATCTCGCTCAAAA